CCAAACGAATCAGATTCAAGTGCCCAGGCTGAGATTACATTAAACGCCTTGACAACTTTACTTTCAGGTAGCAGACTGGCCAAATACTCGCCACTTGACTGATCTCCTTTCTTGGAAGTTTGTGGATTGTTTACATCTACGACGATCTTCTGCTTTAGCATGTCTCGGTATTCATTCGCAAGCGCTTCGTAAGATTGGCGATGGACGGCAAAGATAATGATATTTCCACGTTGTAGGGCTTCTTTGTTCTCGAGCACGTCGACAAGTAGAGGGATGACTTTGGTTTCAACGGTGCTTGGATTTCTCGAGCCAAGTACAACTTTGAATCCAAAGCGATGGAGCCTTGTCGCCAACGCCCTTCCAAAATCCCCTGTGCCAACGATGACAATAGGTTCTTCGTTCATGGACATAGCGCTCGATTACTGGAATAGCGAAATTTCTACAACCAAGAAATGAAATATTTTTATTTTATTTTTTAGACAGAAGAAATTTTGATCTGTACGATTTTGCACTTTGATTCGTCAATCAGCGTGAGACTCCTCTAGACTGATTCAATAAATCGGTCCCAGCTCGCTGTAGCTGGTGTAAATTTTTTCGTTCACGGTTCGACAGATACGACCATGTATAGTAAGAAATTGATCGATCCAGATCTCGAAAAAGCGCGACCTCCAATCAAATTACTCGTTATATTGATTAATACAGATTTAGGACCAATTTATATTACTTGCAGCAAGCCTTACACTACGGTGAAAAAAGAAAATCATGTACTTCCGGTAGACGTTCAGACGCCATCTTGTTTTCGATCGAAGAGGCTGACTGACAAATTGTTCACTAGCGAATTATCGAGTAAGGAAATTAAATTATATTGTTATTTCCAATGAATATATCTTATAGTTTTCGTGAACTCTGATGAAACGCTTTCCGAATATCTGCACATTTGGCCAAATTGTAAACAAACGCCGCGCGCTGACCTATCGAATAAAGGTTATTGCAATCAAAATCTCATTTCAATTTCCTTTGAAAGAGTGTTCACTTTGAATGGATTTTAGAAATGAGTTTATTTCGGATTCAATCTTTGTATTTTCAGACAGTAACTGGGTAACTGCTGTCTAAACTTGTTTCCGCACATTGAAAACTTTTGTTAAAACACACAGCAGTTCATCTTGGCATGAATGCATCCAAAGAATAATGATAAATTGCGGTTATAAACCAGCCGCACCCTTTTGCCATTGATTGATATAGGTTCTGCATTTCTAAGAAGACCGTCTGAACAGGCTTTGAATTTTGAATTCAAGACCTCCTTCAGATTTCAATAAATATTATTTCAAATACGTTTTTTTGCAAATATTGATTTTAAGCACGACCCTTGGTTTTGTTTGCACAGCCATGTCTGATAGAGTACAAATAATATCGATATCCCTGACATAGATAGCAAGCCAAATCCTAAACTAAGGAAGACTTTTCGTAGAAGATAAGCTCGTCTCGTGGTTTATTTTGGGTCTTGTCAAGTCTTGTCGCTCCGTTTTTTTAAGCCGATAGCTCGTCCTTTCCTTGAATGTCCTTGAGTAGTTTAATAAAGTTTCCTAAACGCGTTTCCCGCGTTCTGTGGTATTATTGTTTCTTTGTGGATTTTGGACATAGTTAGTACTACCTATGTTTTGGACCAGAGCATAAATGTACGAATAAAGTCTCTGATATGATTTTACTTCCGTTTAGTTGTTATTTTAGCATAAGATGTGTCTTGATTTTGTAGCAACTCAAATAAAACTTTGAAAAAGCTCGAGACCACGTCATACCCCACTCTACTTCCTATTTGTCACTATCTATTTCATGGGTATATTATTTGCATTCCATACACTCCGTTTAAGTCCATAAGTCGATAGTTTGAGCGAAAAACCAAGAGATTGAGGAGCGAATACTGTGAATAGTGTGCCCATGTTTACAAGATAACTGTACTGTTTAGCATGCCTTCCGCTTGCAGGATATGCACTGCTTCTGCTATGGTTTCGCGAAACTGAACTGTTGAAGTGACGTTTTTGTCCGCAGCAGTTTTGACGGGTAGGCAAAGTCTCTCAAAACAACAAGGATAAAGTGAGAAAATGATGTCAAATAATTCCAGTTGAATTCCAATTCTGAATGAATCATTAATTTCGGGGTCATCGCCTCGTGACGTGCGTTAAAAATACAAAGAAATGTATGGAGAACTAGATCCACTTAGTCCTTCAAAACTGCGGCCCAGTTAACTCCTTTTGTAGGATCTAACTTTTGCAGTAAGGATTCTTTCAGAACTTGACTTCAACAGGAGTTACTTGATATCGATTTCTTACTGTATCCTTGTTATTTTGCGAGACTCTATCGTAAACATGGCGGCCCAAACCATCTCTTCATCTACATCCCTTATTCATCAGTTTAGAGGATCTTGAAGCTCACTTACCCTAAGAATCCTGTTCAGTACGTGACAGTTCTTGTGAAGCACTTCCCACTGAAGTTGTCGACTGAGCTACCAACTGAGGCTTGAATGGAATAAACAACGTTTGGCAAGGAATCAAAAGCTAACTTTTTTTTATTACTTCCTTATATTGATGTCTGGATGTTGATGTCAATGGGGTCTAATGTTTAGACTTTTGCTTACTGGGGGGAGTAGATAGGTTTTTGGATAGCCGGATTTGGGCCTAAAACATTCGAAGTGCTAGTGTAGCTTTTTTAAATATCGAACATTGAAAAATTGCCGATTGGAGTAACGGATACGCTACCATCAGTGAAACATTTTAATTACAGTTCACGTGCGACAGTTAGCGTAGTTCCGCCACGACAAGGCTACCAAGTATGGAATCGCTCTCTTAACCAAAGCTAAGTAAGTTTGTAATACTAGTACTTTGAAGTCAAATCTTGTAAAGATTGCATCACTTTTTTGTCACCTTTGCGTCTTTGAAGATGTTAAACAACAACAACAACAATAACAACAACAACAACAACAGCAACAATTTCTTTTAAAGGTATTTAAAAATTCTATTGTGATAGCAAGCTTTTAGCTGTATCATATTCAATGGAAATGCACTTTTACTTTTAAAAATGTCAGGAATATGAGTGGCCCCCTAATATCTATAGATATTAGGGACGAGGACTGCTAAGGCACACTGCTATTGCTGGTTTTCAGGTTACCTCACAGCGGCCATCTTGGAGGTACTTCACCCAAGGATTTCTCATTAGTATATTTTGTTCAAACCTCCAACATGGCCGACGTTCCTTTGTTGTTTGAATCTCATGTGAATGATAAAAACCAGCAATCGCTTGCGTCTACTCGAAAGAATTTTTTTTATTCAATTCGTGATGCGCTTTGTCAACTCGATTTCTTTTCTGGATGAATTTGAATTAGCTTGTTATTCCTAACTGGTTTCCATTTGAGTAGTTTAGCATAATTTTTGAGCAGTTTCTTCCAATAGCATCGTATATCTTGCATTCTTAGATGATCTTTGATGAAATCATATCCTCTGTGAATAAAACGCGTACGAATTAGACCAAGCAATAGTTGGGCAGCCTGTGCTCTGGGTATTGTCTGTCTTTGCATACATACACGAGACTGCGATATTTTTGAAAGCGCCCGCGCATCATTGTAGGAAATTGCCTTTCGTGGGGAATAGGCTTTAGGTGTTACCTAAAAATCTACTCCTATCCTTTCATACCTTGATGCTATGCCTTGCGCAACTTCATCGTTTGCATTAGCAAATTCGATCAAATCTCTAGCATCAGACAGGTCCGTCTTTACAGGGATATAGTGCACCCAGGGTTTAAGAGCAGGGTAGAAAAACTCCAACCACTCTTCGCCAACATGAAATACCAACGACTTGCACAGGAACAGATGCTTGAATCGGAAACTAGCAGCAACACCTCGGAAGTTAAACAAGTATCTGGAAAAGTAGCAAAATACATGTACAGTTTCGAAAAATGCTAGTGAGTGATTCTATGTCTTTGAGAAGTACATGTAAGTGGTTTCAGCAAGATTTTTACGCCTGAGATCCGTGAGATCCGATAAATAGATTATTCATCAATGTCGGTTAGGGATATAAAAATTAACTGTTTTGTACAGTACACATTCTATTCAAAACTACTTGAGTTCCTCAATGTGTTCATTAATCAATGCAGGACCCAAAAGTGATCCTTGTGGTACCCAAAGGCCTCTGATAGACCTTTTCTGAAGTAAGTACAAAATCATGTTGCATTGTGGTCAACAATGTCATATTTGCGTGCTGCATTCAGATTGTCCAGAATCGACACCACAATGCAATAATAATATTATTTTGGAAAGTCCTTTGGGAGTAGATACAGCGTGAATATATTATGTGCTGACAAACCTAAATTGACAGTGGTCCTCTAGAGGCACTTCTTTAGCAGGTTCGGCATAAAGAGTATCCTAAAGACAAAAAAACAAAAAAACAAAAAAAACAAAAAAAAACAACAAACGACTTATGCATAAAAAAGAGAAGATCTGGAAGGAACAGGAAATGAGAATAATTACTTTATCAGATTTCCATGCTTGATTCTTGGTGTACTTCGCATCAGCTAGTTCTGGATTTGAGCGTGACAACAAAACAAGAGGATCTCTTTCATGGCTTGTTCTAATCAAGAGAAATCATCTTTGACACAAATGCACCCTACAACTACTCAAACTACGTAAATTGACTAAACAAGACATGCGCAAACAATCACCTGGATCCTCTAAAGAAAGCTATCGGTGCTTTCTTTTCCCATGGAAATTCCTGGGATTTCCTGGAATACAAGAGAATGATTTGAAAAATGCTTTAAGTCACTAAAATAAAAAAAATCTTCTATTATGAATTTGCAAGTTGCCTGTCAATGTGTCCATTCCATTTATTCATTCATTCGTTTCTTTCATTCATGTGTAATCTTACTTGATCAAAGCATCTCTCATCAGGTCCCAGCGTCCAAGACCAGTTGGATATATTGGCCAGACAGCAGGCCCTCCTTCCCAGAATGTCCAGGCAGGGTACATGATATCTCTCTCATTACTAGTCTAAACATAAAACGTACATCAATTTTAATCATATTTTTCACACGTGATGCACTGTTTTGAATCAGGATGGATCTAGAAATTTGTAGGGGGTGGGGGTGGGTGGAAGCTATATTTTCAGAGGGTGTAGCTATAATTCTAGGGTGTATAGCTAATTTCTCAGCAGGTGCAGTTGTACTTCCATGTGATTGGATATCAATAGCGCAGTGTAGGCCTAGGGGAGTGGTATTTAGATAAAATGACAAGCTCAATAAGGCAGCAATAGGTATTTAACTGTAACAATACCACAGGTTTTTTTTACTTTTGAAATGTTGTAAAAGTTGAGGTGTGCCTAGTGCCTCTAAGTACACACCCCCGGATCCCACCCTTTTTTATGTATATCAGTTCAAATGATTGTAGCACTACTTCTTCTTCTTCCTAGTACCCCGTCTCTTTCTAACTAGAAAATCCTTACGGGGGGTCTTAAAACAATTAAAAAAAAAAAAAAAAAAATTAACTAACCTTGCTAAAAGAGAAGACTGGTAAAGGCTCTCCCCAGACAGGCACCTAATAATAATTATGAAATCAGAAATATAAAAAAAATCATAAGTACCAACTTGCACCTGAAATAAGAATGTCACGGAGACACAAATTCAAACACTATTGAAAATTTACCAAGAAAAACATTGAAAATGGAAACACAATTCTTAACGCAAATGCAGGAAAATGGAAGAAATGTTAATTTCTTAAATTTTCAGTTGTGTTTGTATTTGCATTGCTTGCATTAAAAGTGTGAACCAAGCTTATTAAAACCACCTAATGCCGTTAATCTCTCACCTGAGGCCAGTCTCTAACATTGATAATCATCTCCATATTTGGGAGTTTGTCAATTATTTCTAATATGAAGTGTTCTACACCTTTGCATCTATGGAATGAAATAATGAAAGCCCAAGGTCTAATCATACAAATAGCAATTCTGACAATATAATGTAAAACTTTTCTAGAGAGATTTTGTCAACAATATTTTTAGTTTGGATCAGACAAATAATTTGGACAACTTCAAAGTCATTTTTCTTGAGTGCAATAAAAGTTGCTTAGAAGTCCCTCTTAAATCAAAATAGTTATAAATTTTGTAAATGTCCATAACAGCACTGTAGACTGATATATATAATGTATATTAAACCCACCTAAATAGAAACATACAGTCTTCTTGTCTATATAATTTATGATTGATAATTTGATAATGAGTTCCTTTCCCTGAAGCAGCTGTAAAATCGTGTTTAGTGATGCCGCCTCTATCCCTCCATAGCTGTAAATCTTGGTCAATGACATTGCTATAGCAACCACACTTTTTGTTGGAGCAATCATGGAACTTAGCAACAGCACTGTTGATGTTGTCAAGGTAACCTTTCCATGATGCTGCATTAAATAAAAACAGTTACTCAATGCTACAATGTAAAATATTATTCATGGTAACATTTCTTTTTATGAAGAGAAAGCAGTTTATATGTCATACTTAATATAGTTTATATGTCATTAAAATCATTGAATTTGAGTGTACAGTATAGATAATATGAAGAAATCATTGCCTGAAATTTGCTAAAGGAAGACATCTTACATTATTCATGTTTTTTAAGATATGATTAAGTTAGAGTACAAGTTCCCAGACACCAACAGAACTTTTTTGAGAAAATCTTTTAAAAATCAGAATCACCTTGTAATTCTATGTTCTTTATACAGAAAAATACTAAAATATAGAGAACTTATAGAAAGTATTTTATAAAGAACTGCACAGAACTACAACCAGCTATAACCGATCATTGAAAGGGAATAAATTTTTCATAAGCTTATTAATTCTCGTCAAATGTGGAAACGTAAACAATTTCTGTTCAAAAGTTATTACGACTTTCTGAACTCCATTCAAACCTTTAAGCTTGTATTTTTCTTTCTCGTGGTTTACTCTGTCGTCTTCACAATTCTCCCTGTCGCAATTCTGGTCTTTTTCAAGTGATATTATATTTTTGAAAAGGGATAAAGAATATAAAGTGAGGAGCAAAAAGTTCATGTTTTCCAATCAATTATAAACAAAAGCTTGCAAAGCAATACATTTGCTCAGCGGTAATCTAACAAGATGTAGCACAGGGAGTCCAAAGTGGATTAATAAAAAACAGGAAGCCCAAAATTCTCTTCAATGATATTATAATCTGACCAATCAGAGTGCACATGTAAAAATGATGTATCCTGCAAATTGAGAAAAAATGTGTGACTTTAATATCATTCTAACAAACTCTGAACTGAGTATATTTGTCATCTTGACTCTTGAAACAGTTGCCCCTCACAAAATAACATGAAATAATGAATGCAATCCCCGATCCCCAAAATAGCGGTGATTTAGCTTAAATAACCCTTGTTTACCTTAGCATGGTTTCACAGCGACTTCTAGACTACTATCGTAAATACTTACGACTCTATTTTCACTCTTTGCTTAATAGTGCATACAAACAGATCACTCACTTATGACCGTTAAGAGCTCTAATAGCCTAAGGGTGCATATGTTGTCAATCCAGATCATTCGAGTATATTGAGATCATTTTAGTATTCAAGAATTCAATATACTGTGCGACTGATTGAAATTCTTGACGCTTAAAGTTCTTGAGCGAAGAATTTCAAAATGTATTGGTTTATGGTGGCTTTTTTCCATGGATTGTTTATATTAATGTTGAGATTATCTTCATGTTCTGCTGGGTGTGAAGGTAAGTAGAATAGTAGTTCAGGTTGTTTATATGAAGAACAAGTTGATTTTGTAGAATTTTGATGATGTTTTTAATTAAATAAACACTTGTCCATTATTCGAGTCTACGTCAATGGCTCAGTCGTTTCGTGATTTTCTAGATCATTATCCTAAAGTTATCATAACTTAAAAAGATAATACCAAGTATTGTAAATCAGAGCGAATTCCATCTGTTTTTTTTTGGCATATTTCTGGTATTTTTGCGAGGAATCATATCCAAACCTCTATATGTACAGTCGCGCTCGGATTTGCTAACTGCCTGTCCCTCGACTAATCTTGTCTTTTGTGAAATGCGATAGCCGTACAATATACCCTTCTCAGTTCTCAGGTTCAATTCTACTTAGTTTCCCTTGCTGTTATTCAGTACTAGTTCAGGTTCAAACTCGGGGCGATAAACAACACTTCGCCCTAACACTAAACAAATTTAAAACAGCGGTCGTTCGTATTTCCATAATGACACCTTGCAAGGGACATATATCAAAGCGGATGGTAAAAGAACGTACTTGTATATAATATTTTTTTTCGGTCTTTTCACAACCCAAATTTGGACTTTTTCCGACAAGGTTAGGGGCACATTTAGCACCCCCTTTTGCTATGGGCCTGTCATATCTATCTTCTATTTCTAGGTCTAGATTCAGTTGCTGGAAGCTGCTCCACAATTGGCAATTGCACAGCTGAAACTGGTCAGCCTCCATCCATAGTCGAGTGCTATGACCGTCCTCAGAACATGCATATTTGTACTTTTGAAACAGGTAAGTATTTACATTAAATTAAGATTTGATTTGATTTCATTCGATCATCCTATTCTAATAGTATACATAAAACTGACAAACTAATAAAAGTGACAAAATATAATAATAAAAAAAATAATCTTGTACAATACATTTTTTCAATTCCAGTAACCGATCGAGTACCGAAAGAGTTGGGAGTCAAAGTCGCTGAAAATGTTTTCCAATTACCTGACGCACACTTCACAGCCTCGTCAAATCAAGACAACGCAAAATATGCTCGTATAGGCCTACCAAGCAATAAAACATGGTGTGCTGACAATGCTAACCAATGGTTGGAGATAGACTTGGGTAATTTCATAAGCTTGTACATCATAGATTTGAACCCTAGCTGGCACTGAAAACATATATTCCCGATGAACAATTTTAATTTTATCCAGTATTTTGAGCGATAGAGTGCGAAACACTAAACCATGAAAACATTTATTGATTAAATAGACGTTTGTACTAAAACATGCGAATTCCTTGTTTTCTATGATCTAAAATACACTACATAGCGCTATTTGATTTGGCTCGTAATTTTCCACCCGAGCAATGTTAGATTTAATACAATGCACAGGCAGCCCAACAATTTTTATTTATGATTCGACATACAAATGAAGCCATACAAATGTTACGTTAGCGTATTATGATATTTCAGCTTGTGAAGAATCGAATTGACGTATTTTAGTACGCGGATGTATAATTGGAAATCCTTGTCATACGATTGATGTTTCAACTTACAGGTACCGTGGTCACGGTGACAAGAATTGAGCTTGTGCCCGTTGGAAATACAGATGCCGTAAATTTTACGGTGACCTACAGAACTAATTCGTCCAATCCAATGCAAATGTATTTAAGTGGAAGTGAGGTAAACACATTGAATTCCTTACGGGAGGAAACATTCTTTATCTTTTGCTTATCAGTTGATTTTTTTTCCTGGGATATAAGGCCTGCTCAGGGCCAGAAAGTTGCCTTAAGTCGCCTTAAGACGAACTAAGTCGCTAAGGGACCCCACCTAGTAATTAATCATCTAAATTTCCTTGTTGCCTTAAGACGCTCTAAGCTACCACAATGCCCCGCCAAATTTACCCTCATTTTTTAAGTTGAGGCGACTAAATACGAGACTTTCTGGCCCAAGTAGGCCTGATAAAACATCACTTGAAGTGCTTATACAGTATCTTTAAACTAAAAATCAGTCCCAGTAGTAGGAGGGTGACTTAAATGGCAACACTGTCTCCTTCCATAACAAAGAGTCAATGTATACAGTAGCGCCACACTCATTCACAACGACCCTTTTGTAAAAACAAGGAATATCGATTAATTTAGTATGATTGCCTGTTTTTCTTTCCAGTTTCGGTCTACAGCAAATAACACATGCCATCATTTGTTCATAATGAATACAGACACTATACGGATAAACAGTAAAACAAGTAATTCTTGCTTTCGTCTGGCAGTCTATGGACAATTACCAGGTAATTTATAATGAACCATGCATGTATGCGTGAAAAGGCAAAAATACAGTAAAATTTGACCAGAAAGTAAGCAAACAAAAATATCCGCAATAACAAAAACAAATACACAAAGTTTACATGTAACATACAACCGTGGAAGAAACCAAAATAGACAAAAGAAAATGCAACAAAATTGTTGGCCGCAGATACAGAAGTACGAGGCACCAAAGAGTACGGACGACAAATGTAGATAAGTAATTAGATAATATTAATTAATTATTATAAATTGATAACAAATTATGATTCATCGTAAATTTATTGATGTAATCTCTGATCAAATTATTGTAATCTGTATAGATCGCCTGAATACACCACAGGAACTGGGAGTGGGAGTTCCACTGGGCCCTAGTCCATATTATCGAATACCCGATAGTAAATTTAAAGCCTCTTCAAATCAAGAAGATGCAAAATATGCACGAGTAGGATTGAAAGGCGACAAAAGATGGTGTGCTGCAACCAACGACAAAAATCCATGGCTGGAAATTGTATTAGGTAAATTCATGTTTTTGTACTTAACAATTCTTGGGTTGCAACCCCCGAACTGAAAATTTATCATTCGTTATTATTCGTTATTTTCAAAAACCAAGTAGCAAGTGATAAAGAGCATAGTCAAATTATCTAGAATACGAGCTTTTAGTSCTGTABCTTACTTTTCGATGAAGATATAAGCGAATAAAGATTTGAAAAATTTGGTTAATATGTATGGGAACGCCATCTTGGATGATAACTTTGACCATCCAAGATGGCGTCTGATTTCAAATTAACTTTAAAAACTGGTTTCCTTTGTAAATTTTGGTCAATTATGACTTTATTTCAAAGAAAAATCACCTTAAGTAAGTTCTTACGGAGTTGAAAGAATGATTTATCTAATCTCGAAGTTTTTATTTACGATCTACGGTAGAATAAATTAAACTCCGCACAAACTAAAACTTTTGTGTTTCGCCACCAAAGCGTTGAATTCGTATGAAAATTTGCATACACACTATTTAGACGTATATTTAARATATWCTRTAAGAAGAGMTCTTTAGAAAAAATATCTTGGATTTTTCGATATTTTTTGCTTGAGTATGACGTCACATGCAACCCAAGAATCAGAGACTAATGTATAAATGTATGGAATCTCATCGCTTACCCCGAAGCAGAGAGAGTCAAAATGGCGTCTATATTTGGAGTTTTGGAATATAACAGTATTTTTTAAATTGGGCACCAAGCCTCGACTTCAAGTTAACATTCAGTGGTCAGACGTCTTGCAAATTCGCTTTCTTCGAAAGTTTATGCTATGCTTTCTGCATTTACAGATGTTGCAAAAACAGTTGAAAGAATTGATGTTCAGGGAGATCCTACTAGACTGGAAGTCAAGTTCTGGCTTAGCTATAAGACACAGAAGACCGGTGTCGCATTCACTGATTACAGAAATAGAAAGATAGTGAGTACTCTTACATTATTTCAGCCATTTCTTGTTTTCAAATCATTGCTATATTGACTGGTTATTGTATGTGATTGCTGTATTGCGCGCACTCTGATTGGCTGATTATCATTGTTGTATTGACTGGTTATTGTATGTTATTGCTGTATTGCGCGCACTCTGATTGGSTGRTTATCATTGTTGTATTGACTGGTTATTGTATGTTATTGCTGTATTGCGCGCACTCTGATTGGSTGRTTATCATTGTATCATTAATTTTAAATCAATATGTGATGATCTAAACTTCTTTTGATTTCAGTTTACTTCCAAAAATGGAAGTTCAACTCATTATATATCCATCACAGAGCCATACTCCATACGTATTAACTTAAACACCAGCAAACCATGCCTCCGAGTCGCTATCTACGGAGACCCAAAAAGAGGTCAGTAAACGCCTCATTGAAATATCATTTAGTTGTTACACAGAAACATAAAAAAATAAGTCATAAAAACAATCCACATCTATCTCGCTTGTCATTGCCTAGTGAAGTACTGAGCAGAAGCTGAGTCCACAGTAGAAAAAAAGAAATAATAAATGAGTTGTCTTTATAAATGTTATCATATACTGTGTTAGAGTAGAGTGATCGCACTTAAACCGTGCAAGTGTACAAAATCTATGTAGCACTTATTTGTACTAAAATTGGACGTGAAGCAAGACGGTATTGATTCAATTTGCGTACCGCATGTACGATTTACTAAATACAACTACAAATAGAACTATTTAGTTTGTACAGTTGCACGGATTAAGTATGATCACTCTACAAACACTAAAACTGTACAACATAAATACCACTAAATACTGCTAAACTATGCTAATTCTATTGTTTAATTATTGTTTAATTAACAGTATTTTGTAGTGAAATAGTGGAAAGTGTTGCACACATTTAATGTTTGTACTCTACTATTGTGTTGCTATATATTTTCATCTATACACAGATAATTATATCAAGGAAGTTGTACAAGTTGTACCGGTACCTGTTACGACACAGCCAACAGCGATTTTTTTAGGGAGAGACAGCTTATCGTCGAGCGATTTTCACAAGGGATTCGTTATATGGGGTTTGTTAATCGATTACCTATCATTTATTTATCAATAACATTTCAATTTGTAGTTAGTAAATAGACTCCACCGCAATTTTCAGCATACTCGAATTTTGTTTTATACCATTTTAGACTGCAATTCCATGCCGTATGTACTTTAATACATTATGAGTCAATTATTCATAATCACTATTTCTAACATTTTTATGTACTTTTTTTCTTTCAGTCCTCTTTCTAGCCGTCTTTGTATTTCTATTACTCGTGTTCCTGACCTTCTTGTTTTGTTGGTGTTGCAGGTAAGTCTGCTCAACCTTTATCTCATAAATCGGTCACTTGAAAAAATATAATTATAAAAAAACCGCGTTTCTATTTTATCAACAGAAGAGAAAGAGAATTTCAACCAAAGTCAGAAAAAGTGACAAGAGTTACGTCGACAAATTACGTTCCATCATGGCGTACTATTGATGCAAAGGCAGAGAAAGGTTACATAGCGACACAGGAGGTCCAAGAAGTAAAGATCGCATTCGGTGACGAGTATATACCACCTGATTTAAAGAAAGAGAAACTGGACCCGAACGATGAAGACAATTATCGCCACAAGGTAAAAAAACATGACCTAACATCTTTCAAAACAATAAGTCGCCACTTTTCATCCAAAAAGAAAATATGGATGCTTTTCTTCTCAGTCACCCAAGACGTTCCTCAATCCCCGGCAGTTCCTTCTCGCTCTGATGACTCAAAAGGGCCTGAGATCAAGCAGGACAAACTTGATATCATTGCGTTATAATCGAAGTAATATAAGTGAAATTTAGTAATTATATTTCTTATTTTATTCCAGATATTTTCTTTCCGAGGCTGGGAAGGGACAAAGACTCCAGCAATCAAAGTCGAAAAACCACCTAGCATTCAAAATGAATAATTTTCTCCCTCGTTCTCATAGTAAAGCCTTAATTTAAAAAAGACAAGTTAACCGGCCTTCATCAACAAAGATTACTCAATCAATGACTATTAAACTGACTACTGCAATTAATAATAATTAATTAATAATAATAATTAATAATAGCCCTTGCTATTACATTGCTATTATAAACACTACACAGCTGATCTCGCGAAAAAAAAATCATATTAGTCCGCACATACATACCGGAAGTAATCATCATTTATTATTCACCATACTATATGAAGTATCGCAAACACAGTATTCCAATTGGCTAGTGAGCTGTGGTATATTCAATAAAAGTAGTATTTTCTAATTTAGAACTTAGAGTGGTTTTCGTTAACCTGTGAAACACACTTTAGCGTATTTATCGCTAAATACACTTTGGCTCTTGTTTTTTATTGTCTCTACAAGACTATTACGATCTATTGCACTCTAATTATTACACTTTGTTTCACGGGTTTATGAAAACCACTCTATCTAATTTGACCAATCGGTTTAGTCGACTATCGAGAAACTTGTAGTCCAATGGACCTCGTGGTCTAATTTTTTGTTGAATAAACTGAGTAGAAAAATGGCTGAATATTATACATTGCCAAGGTTTCAGTTTTCAAACGGCAACAATTATAAATATTGTTGTAAAATTAAATTAAAATTATTTACAATTTACAGTTGTAAATTTTGTTGTAAAATTACAAAGCACTTGACTGAATAAAAGTACATGTATAACGTGCCTCTATCAATTATTTAAATTACATATCGATTGTTGTAATATTAGTGCTGTTATTGAAAAATGCGATATCTACAGCTATTGTAAGAGAAGTATCAAAGACAGTAGATTGATGAGAATATTGGAGCAATCTCGAGCCCAGAGTCTTTACGGCTAATGTTAGCGGTATGCTGACGCATTGACTTGACCGCTGAATGGCAAAATTGCGGGATTTGGGTAAGAGAATGATATTGGAGTGAAGAGTGACTATTACATAGCCAAAAGGAATTATGGGTGAAGTATAAATATCGATGATATTATGAACTTTATAACGCATTAGTTAATTGAAGTTATGTGATGGCTTTTGCGAACATTGATCACTTGATTCAACTGAAAATCACGGCGTGCGCTTAAATTAATATCAAATGATGCAAGCACAATCGCAGTTGTGTGCAATGGCAGTTTTAAATCTCATAGCGTCTATTCACTTTTGGTTGAACGGCAGTACAGTTATAAATATGAGAAAATGAGACTCAGACATTCGGAGAGGAATAACTTGCATTTTTATCTATAAGTGATCCTGATGCTCGTGTAATCATCATTTCAAGTTCTTACATTACATTTCTTAACATTTTAAACTCTTAAAATCGCTTACATATTATCCATATGAGAGTGCGTTCTTTTTAGTTTGAACATAAATGGTTATAACGTCTAGTGCCTTCCAAGTATGAAATATAGTCCCTCTGCTAACTGATCCATAACCTTTATGACTTGGGGGCTTTATTTGTGACGTGCTAGTCATCATTCATACCGTAATTGCCTTGGCCGTCAAAGACACAAAAGAGTTCAATGATCTTCTCGAAGATTTTGACTCCAAAAGTCAAATGCGAAATCAAGTGTGAAGAASCTGAGAAACGAAATTGTTTGGAATTTTGAAGGGCGATTGTGAAGTAGACCTAGGCTGTGTTGACATTTACGATGGAGAAATCTGCCGTTTTTATATATGCAGTTATATACCTGGCCTTACAGTTACAACTGGTATTAGCAGCTTATTCAAATGCGTGTAATAGTTGTAAGTATTGCTTTCTTATTTTAGACGACAAGTGTTCACTTGCCTGATTTGAAACTTATCAGTTCTCAAAATAATTTACAAAAAATATATCTATACATATTTACTCATTATTAAAGGTTATGTTATCTATACATTTCATGTAAAAAACGAAATGTAACTATATTATAGGTAAGATAATCTTTAAAATTAGAGGATTAGTATAAAATTATTGGATCAGTTATGAAGATATATATATATAGAAAAAGATATTCTAATATAGGCCTATAGTTTCAGAACAGTAGTGAAATACGTAGAAGATATATTCAATTGAGGACTACACTACATATACGAGAATACCTGTCAACATTCAGCATTGATAAAAATGCAAAAACAACTTTTCAAAACAAAGAAAACAAGCTTAATTTAGGTAATGCTATTAATAATAATTATAATAATAATTCAAAATCTTTTTGAAGAAATAGCTTAAAAATGGAAATATGGTCTTCATTTTTTCCACAGAATTCGAAAAGGAATATTAAAAAGGTTTTTATTCACATACCTCGAATTTATCGATGCGTATATTGTAAACGTGCACATAGCATCTGCAATAACTTTAATCATTATAAATCACAATTACTATTATTYTCTTTAGTATAAATGCAAAATTTGAACAWTAATTTTAAAGTCACCAAAACATCACAGGCATACAATGCAGAGGATAGAATTGTTAAACTAGAATCCATTCAATCGCATTCATGAGCAATACTTTGACAGCCCATAATAGAATATTCCAGATGATTTATGATCGAATTTATGACCCATGTTGTGAATATCAAAATATTTAATAGAGATTTGAGAGCTATTGTAACAGCTTATTCTAAATCAATGATTTTTTAGACAAGAATAAAAAAATCAAAGTTTGAACGATGTGACAATGATCAAGAACCGTAACGTCTCGTAACGGCTGCGAGAGGAGACGGTTACATGTAATTATGACATACAGTACAATGATTGATGTCTATATCAAGTAAGAGCTGTATGGCCATCTTTGGATAACTGGTATAAAATATGCATTAACATTACATAAATTTAAAACTCCATACTATTTCTTGTATAATTAACAGAATGGATCCACTTTCTTGAATAAGTTTTCAAAAAATGTTGTCCTTTTAATCTGTAGAAAGCGAAACCAGCAATGAGTGACATATAAGTAACATTTAATATTAAATAATTATGTTATTTCAAGCAAATAATGTCATGGCAATATTCTAATTTAAAAAAAAAAAGAAAGATTTGTCACTATTTTGACGTGTAGTGTTCAAAACGTGCATGATGTCAATTGGATATCATACCAACGAACCTTGTTGGACGWCCGAAAATTGTTGGATGAAGTGGGTGGCAAAAAGCCTTCACAATAAAGCATCATWATYAAAAATGTAATGGTAGTCTCTTCYTTGATATTTTAGCTGCTTTAATACTCGAAAATAAAGAGTTAGGTCTTCGTGGCGGTAGGCTTCCTGATAATCACTTCCAGGCTTCATCGTACCCTGATCCAACTCCAGAAGGCGAGCACACACCTTGGAGAGGACGTCTTGAGCAAGAAGCGTCAGGCAATCAAGCTTCGTGTTGGTGTTCCAAGTTCAAAGACAAGAATCAATGGCTTTGGATAAACCTGGGTCAGTAAGCAGTTTGTCCTGTAGAGGCGAACGATCTTAGGCCTTCAGCTGACTCTTTCTGTACATAGGAAACTGTATGAAGCTTAATTKGTATATTTTTTCTTCCTTTAGCCGAACTCTGTGAGGTTAACGAAATTGCTACGCAAGGGCAATACGACCCCGTCAATTCGACCAGGAATTTCACAACGAGTTGGGTGACCAAATACACCATCGAATAYAGCAGTGATAATCAATCATTCTTCTCAATAAACTATAAATATGAAAGACCTTTGGTATGTATCAATGTATAGTGGTAAACTTAACTCTCGTTAAATCCCATGCGCGCTCTTTCTTGACATAATTAATGTCCGAARTAGTGAGTCCATGTCCGCTGCGAGTTATTTTTAGCTGGGTGCGGTTCATGTTTTC